ATGTATTGACTCTTTGCAGGGTGGGAGGTGGTGGTATTGGCTGTTAACAGAGGAAGAACTAATATGAATTCCAATGCTTCAAAGCAGAGCATTTTCTGGACATGTCACAGACAGAAATCATTTGGAAGCTGATTTGGTTTCCCCCTCTAATTGACAAGCAGATTGTGGTTCTGGAGCATGTTTTGTTTTCCAACAATCCTGAGGAGAGGGGAGGGAAGAGGATGGGTGAGGAGTTGATTACTTGGAGTCTTTTAAAATGGGTTACTGCTGGGGTTTTTTTTCTTCTTACTTGTATTATGGTGAGATTATATTGATCTTCCTACTTCAACTTTTTAAAATTGTAATAATCCCAGGAAGTTTGTGTATTTAATAGTCCCCCTCCCCCAATTTAGCTACCTCAGAACTTCTTAAAGCAATTGGTGTAACCTCCATGCAAAAGGCACAGTTCTGTCTGCACTGCATTGCACTTTTTGGCCCATGAAAAACAGCAGGAACCTGAAGGCAGACAGCTGTCTCGGAAATCATAGGTAGCACATTCTAAGTATTAGTTGCTTGAAACTGAAAATGGGAAAGGCTGCCTGTCCAGATCTGTGAACCTCCTGAATGGACTTGGTTGGTTAACTGGGAGATGGAGCTATGAATCCTGGATTTGAGCCTTTGACCTGATCCAGATAACTGGTAAGTGTTGTGGTCTTTAGTGCTGTCAGTTTCTCCCTATCTACATATACACTAATACTCTGCTCAGCTTATGAAGCCTTGCATGCAGGAAGACAGGGAAAATGCCAGTCAGTGGTTGAGCCTCTCCCTCTCTTCTTTGCTAAACAGCTATGGCAATTTTTGTTTGTATTTGAGCAAGAGGCTCAGACCCCTGGACAATTAGGAGAGGGGTTTTAGGAGCTTCTGAGTCATTCCTTGGCTCTTGGGTGCTTTTCAAGAATTGTTAAACTATCCATTTCTTCTGGTTTATTGTTTCATTAGTATCAAGATGCTTATCTCTTACCATGTGTGCCCCTTCAGGCATGAATATGGCACTTTTGCAGATTCTGCTTTATGTACGAGCCTCCCGAAATCAATCATTCTAAGCCTGGATCCTCAACAAAACCAGTAGAATTTTTTTAATAATCTAATTTTAGATTTCAGGTCTGGATTTTAGGATCAGATTGTGCTTTTCTTTGAGGGTTTTTCCTATTTAAAAATTACTGATAAATAACTGCATCATTCAGATATGATGCCTCATTGTTTCTTCGCAGGAATCAAGCCTATAGGAATGGACATAGAATTACAGTTAATTAAATACAAGTTTGTTGATGAATGTGGCAGGAGAGATACCTTGGCCACATTGCATCTTGTTATGGTGAATTTGATACTAGATCAATTATACACTACTGAAAGTTCTTTGTAAATCATTACCATTCCAGTGGTTAGAGTTTTAGCATCACAATTCAAATTGTTTGGTATGAAATAATGATAAATATTAAATGTGGTATCAGTATTCCTTTTAATGTGAAGAAGATATTTTACATAATATTTTAGAAAGGGAAGACAACCCTGGAAAAGGAAATGAAACCCAGTTTGCATTTTGAAATATGGCCAAAACTAACAATTCTGTAATACAGTGCAGATGCAATATCCCAGTGGCGCTTAATCTGCATAAGGCAGAAGCTTATTGTTGCAAGACCCAGAATTGCAGGAGTACATCCAGTATGTCAGTGATAGAATTTTGGATTATAGCCCTAGAAATCTGGATTTAAATTTTTATTTAGGCTGAAATTGGCAGACTTCATGCCTGGCTCAGTGATAAATCTCTCCCAACGCTTAATCTCATATTCAGGAATTTGCTTGCAGCAGAAACTTGCAGACATGGCATGGCTAGACAAGTCATTGCAGACAAGATAGTAGTTACATATGCATAGAAGATGTGCCCACTGGTGAACGGAGAAATTGAACTGTGTGCATTCCTGCTCCAGGATTTAAATTCTTGGCTTCCATCTTTTCTGAATATGGGTGCTCACTGAGGATGACCTGAAATTGTAACATCTGAATAGAAGCATGAATCCAGTTATAATAAGCAAACTCAGTCATGGGTTAGATTATCAGGCCAATTTCTTGCTGTTGATGTTTCTATGATTGTAGGCAATGAACACAAAATAGCTAGAGGTTTATATGCAAGAGATGAACCAGGGTTTGCCAAAAATCTGCCATGAATTCTATACCTCTATCAGAAATGAAATGATAATGCAACTCATAGTTTCAGAAAACCTGTGACTAAATATATCAGCCTTTTCAGGAGAGGAGGGAAGTCTGTGTAATATCCACTGCAATTAAATATTTTCGTTGAAAAAACATGCCATTATCTACATCTAAATGTACATGTAACAGTCTGTCCACAATTAAAACACCTCAGTACAATAATTCATTTAGCATTTGACAGAAATGCATTAAAAAGCCAAGGACTAACACATATTTTTCCCTGGTAATTTATATCTATTTACTTCTCATACTGCATTCATCTGTTCCTATGCTTTTATTGTATTCAGCAACCAATCTTCAATTTCCTATTAAGGCAATGTTCCATAATTTTCCCTGTACACTTTATCATAAACTAATGTACAATAACATTTCTTTCTTGTATTCTGACATTCTTCAGTGACCCACTTAGGATCAAAAATTGTACACTCTTCCCTTAGCAGAAAGACACACTGCACGTCCCAGATTTTGATTATTGTCATTTCTTGTGCTTTTTTGATCATAATCCTGCCAAACATCTTCCCAAGCACATGTAAAATCTAATCCCCATGTAATTTTTGTATTCATTTGTGCCTTTCCCCTTTGAATAGGAGAACAGTGACAACATTCTTTCACTCATCAGGCACAGATTGATCCCTCACACACATGTTAACCAAGTCACACAGCCACTGCCTGAGCAAACCATATCCATATTTTAGCATTTGACAAATTACCATCTGCATCTGCAGGCTTACATATGTCCACATTTTCACATCATTTATGACTTGCTTTTCATCCCCCCCATAACACTAACATTTGTAGCATTTGTTTCAATTCCATTCTTTGACGTTTCATTACCATCTTTATATAAATCTCCAAAGGACTCCTTTCAGCTTTTCTTCAGTTTTATCCCAAATAATTTCATCCCTTTTATTTAAATTCCATTCATCCTGCTTAAGATTTCTCTTCAGCAACTTCCAAAGCATTTTTATTTCTGTCAAAATTATTCTGCCTTTTTTCTGCCTCTTCATTTTAACCATTCTTTGTTCCCTTTTAGTATGTTTAGTAATGATTTTGTTTTCTATAATACTATGCAATATTGTTATTCATTATTTTCAGCAATCATTCTCTTATATGCATTTTTTCTTCTCCACATCCTCTTTCACATAACTCCACCAAATATTCTTTTTCACCCTGAGGGACTCCATCACTGGAGGTTTTTATGAAGATACTTATCTGAAATGGTACAGCTTGAGCAGGAGACTGGACTAGAAGACCTTCAAGGTCCCTTCCAGCCCATTCTATTCTATGCATCCTTCTCATTACACTTCTGCAGGTAGTGCTGGGTTACTTACTTATGAGGAACTGGAAATTTGGTTGCTAAGTGATACAGTCATTAAGCAAATCATTGTGTTAGTGGACTAGATTTTATGACTATTTTTACTGTGGTTGTTAAGCAAATCACTTGGCTAATTAAAGTTGAGTACAGGTTGTAAGTCACCTTTTTCAAAGGCTGACCTAACTTGAGCCATTGTTAAATGAACAGTCATAAGTTGAGGAGCACCTGAATAGTATTTTGTTCCCAGCAGCTTCTACATCTTCTTTATTTATGTTTATGTTTTTTTATTCTACTTTGTAATTATCTTTTGGTACTTTTCATTCAAGACTCCCTTTTCTTGCAATAGCTCTGCTTGCAATCCAGTATCATTCTTTTTTTTTTTAAGTGGTATATTCCACATTCAGAAACTTTTATGGCATCTGTTTTTTCCCCCTTACTAATTCTCTTAGTCTTCAATCATAAAGAAATCAGTCATTCTTTTAGATTTATATTCCTTTGCCATATGTATATATTAACAGATTTATGCTTATATTTGAAAATTGCAAACCATTTCCTAAGCAAATTGTCCCAATCATCATTGTATTCATTCTTGGTTCTCCAAATAGTCCAATTTATACTCTCTCATTCTTGCCCATTTTAGGGAAATGGGATCTTTTATAAAACAGAATCATTTTTTCCTCTAATTTCTCAGAAATCATTTTTTCTAGAGTTTATTCAGAATATTGATACTGAAACTGATATTTTTGACATTTTTTTTCATGACATGTATTAATTTATTCTCTTTACCATTTACTCTTCTTACATTTTAAATCACAATCTTCCATATACTGTGATTATCACCAGATAGAGTCATAGAATTTTACCTCCAGAACCATTACAGCTTTGGCCAATCAAGGTTTCACATAGCATTTTTAATACTACAGAGAAGGTATACAGTAAGTTCCCTGTTAACTGTAACTCAATTCAGTTTTGCTCAGTTGGAATTTCTACTGAAAGTCTTGGGATCTGACTCTTACAGGTCTATATTATGTAGAGCATTTATAGAAGTAATCACTAATTTTCCTTTGTAACATGCTTCTTGTATACAGTTTTTGGCCTCTGGCCTCTAATAAAGTAAGTAAAATAATATTGTTTATGGTACATTTTTCTCATCCAATCGGATTAATTTTATCTTGTATTGACCTGAATTGGATTTACTTCTTTTAAAAAAATAAAGTTCCATAGTCAATGTGTTTTATATTTTTTGTAAGTTACTTTGATATGTTCTGTTTTTAGTCCTTGTCAATCCAAACATATTGCTAATAGAGTGGATGTTTATAGTTAGGCTGCTCTAATATTACAGGCATTGTCATCATTCTGGTTCATACCATTCTCCATTTTGTCATAGATTTAAGTATATGGTTGATTTAACCACTTCTTCTTTCTAATTATTAAGGTCTGGAGAGAGGGTTAACAAAGGCTTTGAAGAAACTGGATGACTACCTGAGAAATCCTTTGCCTGAAGAGATAGACACAAGCAACACTGAAGAAGAAAGAGTGTCAAAACGCAAGTTTCTTGATGGGGAGGAGCTGACCCTTGCAGACTGTAACCTCCTGCCCAAGCTTCATGTTGCCAAGGTGAAATGCTCTCATATCCATGACAGACCTGAAACTCAAATAGCAACAGTAGCTGGTTGCTCCTAAGATCCATTTATATTACATGTTTCCCACTTCTGTTAGGAGAGAGAAGTTCAGAATAGTCTTACATCGATAATTAGGTTTTTTTTAATGGATTGAGGAACCTGTCAATATATAGCAACTTCATTCATCAAGGTGCTACCCAAGCATATTGAAGTAAGACTGATGAAATCAGGTGTGTAACTCTTAGTCTTGCTTAAGATTTTCAAAAAACAGTGATAGCTCCCTAATTGGCTCCAATACCACCTGCCAATCTACCCAAATCTTACTCAAGTAGCCTTTTTAAAATTTAAGCTTGACTTAAAGGGGACTTTACTTCTAAACTGCATGTGAGTCAATAGTGTGATATACCTGAAAAAATATAGGTTTCACATCTTAGGAAATACGTCTGGTACTTCAGTATTTGAGGTGGCACTGTAACATTTGAGGTGGTCAGAGTCTACCTGAAATGTTGTAATTGTTTTGTCTACTGTTCTTTAAAAAGTGCCAGAAAATTTGCAACAAGTTCAGGGAAATAGAAAAAGGATAGTTTTTAATCTTAAATCTTTATTAAAGTCTTAAAATCAGAATGGTCAGACAGAAGAATTACAGGTAAGCTTTGTACTCTTTCATGGGCATTTCTTCATCCCTAATATGGATACTATGGATAAAAACAGGATGATCATTGGACTAGAAACCAAGTCTTATGAAGAGAAAATGAAGAAACTGGAATGTTTAGTTTTGAGAATAGAATATTATGTGGGAATAGAACACCATTCTTTAAGTAATGGGTGTTGCAAACATTTTCTGACAGCAAGAGCAATTAATAATGGAACTAATTACTCAGAGAGGCAGGGGACTCTCTTTCAATGCATGTACTAAAACAGACAGATAGCCATTTGTTACAAATATTTCAGTTTCAATCCTTGCACAAGAATGGATGTGATGTCTTAAGTGGCCCCTTCCACCTCTATCATTCTACGTCCCTTCTGAAACATGAAGAATCTTGGAAAATAATGGCTTCATAATTCATATAGCTTCAGAAGTCGTGTATTTTTCCAGGTTAAATATATATTTTACATGGGACTAAAACAACCTTTCCAGGATTTACAAATTTGAAAAATCTCTGAACACCTTTCTTTATGGGAGTTTATGGCAGATTCTAAACTAAAATAGTCATGTCAACATTTTGGCATAGCTAAAGAAGACTTCCTCAACTAGCTGTCCTCCAGCTGTATGAACACCAATGCCAAGAATTTCTCAGCCAGCATGACCTTGTTGAGGATTCTGTAACTTGAAGTCCATACAACTGGAAGAAGTCAAATTTGGGGGAGGCTTGGCTTCATGCTGGACAAAAGTCATTATTTAGGCTTTTTTCAATGAATGATAAGTCAAAGGTTCCAAAGCATCTTATAGGTGAAGCATTTTCTTTGGGAGAGAAAAAAAAAGTTGAGTGAATGAAGACATAAAAGTTACTGTAAAAATTATGCATTTTTCCCACATGTTAGACAGTAGTGGCAGATGGAGGCATGTCAAAGAAAACAGGACGTCCAATAATTTGCAAAACCTGTTTATTTTAAATTATACAGGACCATGGTTATCATTTTGCTGTCATATACATATTTTTTTAGAAAAATATATAGTGTAAAGACATAAATAGGGCAGAAGATACTTCAGATTCTGCAAAAGGCATCTAATTAACATTGATGTTTGGCAAATAAATTCAGCACAGACACCTCTTCATGCTGTTCAGTAAGATAAATTATGTAAAGTAAGCCAATCTGTCTAAATGTATTTTCTAGGTTTCCATAAAGCTAATTATATATACCGAGACAATTAATACTATTATCATTTAGTTAATTTGATTTTAAACTATTGGTTAAGATTCCTGAAGGCTTAGTGGCATCTATTGGCAAAATTAGGCACATACTTATCTCTTTCCTGATTTAATTCTTTTCTGTCAAAATTAATACATAGTGTCTACAGTTAGTCTTACAGTTTCTAACTTATTGTATTGTTAATGTTTCATCTAAATAGTGAAAGCATTGCTGTGCCACAAGTCCTGCTCATTTTGTTCAAGCATGAGGTGGATTTTTTTATTTCTCCTTTTTGTGTGTATGCATGTCTTTCAGCCAGTGTTGATATCTGGACACTGCTTGGATGAATTCTCGTAGTTTTCTAGTCAATATTTCTTGAAGTGGATTGCCATTGTCTCCTGCCTAGGGCTGAGAGAGAGCAACAATCCAAAGTCATCCAGTTGGGTGGATAGCTAAGGCAGAGCTAGAATTTACAATTTTTCAGTGTCTAGTCTTACTCCTTAAACATTACACCAAACTGGCTTTTGTTATTTAACTATAGATATTATTTGTTTGTTTGTTTGTTTGTATAGCTGCCCATCTCACCTAAGCTATTCTGGGCAGCTCATAACAATCCAACAAAAAACAAGTTAAAACCCAAGATATAAACATATAACCATCAGTAACAATTTTAAACAAAAATAATCATAAAGGTATAGGTTCCCCGCAGATGTGTCATTTCCAGCTCTAGGGGCAGTGCTCATCTCTGTTTCTAAGCCGAAGAGCCAGTGCTGTCCGAAGACGTATCTGTAGTCATGTGCCCAGCATGACTAAACACTGAAGACGCATGGAGCACTGTTACCTTCCCACCAAAGTGGTCCCTATTTTTCTACTTACATTTTTATGTGCTTTTGAACTGCTAGGTTGGCAGCAGTTCGGACGCTCACTCTGTTACACCGCACTAGGGATTTGAACCACTGAACTGCCTACCTTCTGATCAACGAGTTCAGCGTCTTAGTCACTGAGCCACCACGTCCCCATAAAAATAAGCATATTCAGTGACAAAAAACCCTATCCTTGTGTCAAGCTCAACAATTCCATTGTAAAATGTTATTTCCTTTCTTATGTGTCTAATAAAATCAATAATATTTATAAGTATTAAAAGCCCTCCATTTTCATTTTAGATTGTAACAAAGAAATATCGCAATTATGAATTCCCAGGAGAAATGACAAGACTGTGGCAATACCTGAACAATGCTTATGCTCGGGATGAATTCATCAACACTTGTGCTGCAGACAAAGAGATTGAAATAGCTTATGCAGAAGTAGCTAAACGGCTTTGCAAATCTTAATCAGAATCAGCAAGATCCATTTCTCCAAAGAATTCCTGTTTTATAGATGCTTTTCCATGAATACCTTCAAATATCTATGTATGAAAGTTGGATAACTTTAACGAGATTCATAAGTTTTCTGGATGCATCTTGACCAATATTTCACTTATGAAATACTGGATGAAGAGAAGACAGTGTGGAATAGAGAAAGCACAACTCCAAATTATTATGTTTTATAATTTATGATTTGGCGGGAGTACTTGGAGAGGGTGGGAACCTTCCCTTTTCCTAGAGAAAATGTAGGACAGGAGAAAACATTTCTGAAATCTTTACCAATAAACTGGAACAAATGTTATATGGTCCACTGATATCATTTGGCTTCATTCATATACTTGGGCTAAAAATTTAAAGGTAAATACAGAGTATAATTTTGCCTATTTCTTGCAAATGTTTTTCCATGGACACTAACTATGATCTATCTGAAAATACTGTATGCTAAAATTAGGGTTGGGAAGTTTACATTTGGAGAGAAAACAGGGGTGACAGTAAGAAAATGTATCTTAAGCAGAGTGTTGCTTTAAGACTATTTAGCATAATTTAAGGCCTTCCAAAACCTATTCCATCAACTCAGATAGCAGGGCCTAAAGCTCAGTGGGAAGCTTTTAAATCTTAAATCTAATGGGAATCATAATCCAAGTATATCTAATGTGGTTCAGGCTGGCGATCTTACAGGTTTAAAGGAAAGGCTGGAAGTTCTATTTGGAAGTAGAATTTTTCCACCTAGTTTTGGGTAAAAGTAAGAAAATGCCACTGAACAAACCTGAATGAATATTAAAAATAGAGAGGTTCATGCATCTCATTTTCTTCCATGCAGAAGTTGGAAGCATTGAAATAGTGATTCAAAAAATGTGTCTTTATGACTTGTGGAGTTGCTAGAAAGAGGGATATAGGAACAGGGATCTAGATAATCTTAAAATCTCACTAATGTTCTGAACTTTCATATTTTGTGATACATGCAGTCTTTGCAGAAGGAATTGTGCTTTAAGACAATGACTGCTTTGTTCTGTCAATTGCTCACCACCGTATTTACTTGTAATGAAATGTAGAGGTTGAGTTCATATTCTTTTGGCACTTGCAAGAAAAAAAATTGAATATGATATAGCAGGACTGCCAACTAAGTTGGACAACATCCAGTTGCATTCTTTTAACTTCAATAAAGGAGACATTCAAATTTTCTATTATTTTCTTTAAGCCATAAAAACAAAGGAAGATTTTTGTTTGTAAAATCTTTATTTGAGACCAGGCTCATATACATAAGTGAAGTGGTGTAGAAGACTAGGAACCTGATCTTAAGTCTCAAGGAGCATTCTGGGACTGTACAACCCTCAACTCTCAAAAAATGATGCCTCCTGAGGGTGTTTCCATACGGAGGGCTTTGTGGACTAGCAACAAAACATAATATATAGCTAGTTCACCTTGTCTTGCTTAAGATATATTTATGTGGAAAGCAAAAAGAAGATAGAGAATACAGAAAGCAGTATGAGTGGGAAAGGTATAATAAGGACCTGATGGTGACATCCATAAATTCTATTAAGTCAGGGAGCTGCCACAGTAAAAGTCTTTCCTTGAAACATATAAGAAATCAAAAATGTTTTTCTTTTAAAAGTAGCTGCAGAAATAACCCTGCAGCTATGTTCAGAATGTAAGCAAGCTAAGACAATACAGATTCCATCAGCCTCTTCATGCAATTCTCACATACCTACCATTGATTGCAATGAACCTCCACTGGAATCTACAGTAATCTAAAATGAGCCCTTCCATCCAAAATCTTGGCTATAGAAAATAAAGCTGTGCTGTATCCTTTGTTTATATCCATCATTTTGTTTTCATTGAACTTTGTAATGCCTCTCTTGAAAGTCCATGAACTCTCCAGTTTTCTTTCTGAATGGACAAATTAAAGTCAGGCTAGACTAGAAAGCAATGGTTCCTGATTTTAAAACATTGCTGAGAAAACAGTTGGCTCAGAAAATGCAAGTAATAGCCAGAAAAGTCTAGTGAGATCACAAAAATCTATTCACAAAAAAATAGAAGAGAAATCAGGCTGGAATTATTTCTACTTTAAAATGTATGAAATATTTTCCAAATCGGCATTCAAAAACAGATGATCCTAAATATAATAAGCATGGCCTGGTTTTATGTAAAGAAGAGTAATATTGATATCTCTCTCTTTTTTTAATGCTAGTCTCCACTTCTGAAACTGCTGATCAGTTAGGCTATTGTGAATAAAATTAGGGCTGATGGCACACAATATTTGTTAAATAAAGTGAAGACTTGCATGTATGAATGAGATAACACAAATGAATAGGCATAACTCTCATTTCCCTTGTTATCAAGAAAATTCAGTCCAAAAAGTTCACAGATTTCTCCATGTGTGTTCAAATGATAATGAATCAATTATATTAATGTGTGAATCAGCTTTCCTTTGAATGGAATTAAAATTGATTCTTTGCTTCAATACTAAAAGCTGAAGAAACAAGCAGAGAAGAGAGGATTAAAATGTAATGTCAGTGCCATTGATTCCTCGGTACTTCACAACCTTTGAGTGTAGAGAATTTCTCTGGCCCCTCTTTGTCTCTTATTCTGCCTGTTGATTTAAAATATTGCTGATCCCAGATAACTTCCTTCTTCCTTGAACTCTGGTAGCATGCAGTTAGCTCTGTGCTAGGCTTTGCCTATTCCTATCATGTAATAAATAACTCTGTATTATAATAATAAACCAGTTTTACTCATTCTTGCCATCAGTCTCAGGAACACTTATACAAGACACAAAGACTTTCTTCCAATAGGGAGCCATGGGCAGATTGGCCCAGAGATGGGTGGAACCGGCAGTGACCCAGGCTGCTTCTCCCGTCACCGGCATGTTTCTGCGCATGCACAAAGCAGTTTTCAGTAAACTGCACACAATTGCCTGCACATAAAACACCCTCTCTCAGCAAACCAGTAGTAAACTAGTTAGTAACCCACCACTGGATTGGCCAGTCTGTATTTCCTCTTATCTCTGAAGTTCTCCTTGAAGACCTTTAGTTCTTTGGAGGGCAATCCTAATAAATGCCTCTCGGACAGAAAAAAGAGTTATCTTCACCCACTGAGTCCTTGGCTGAATTAGAAACTGGGGAACTTATGTCCCTTTTCTTTCCCAGATGTTAATGGACTCCCAACTTCACATTCACTAACATGAGTAAGGACTGCAGGTGTCATGCTGCGTTCTAAGGGTCAGAAGTTCCTCAATTCATTGTAAGGATTTCTGGGAAGGAAAGAAGCTCTTTTAGCTTTGGAATGAATGCTTATTTATTTTAGCTATAATTTAGAAATGGTCTTCATCACTTCTTGGAAGCAGCCCTCCCTGTGCTGAATTTAATAGCTTTGCCTTGCCATTTATCATACAATTGGCTGCTGATACAAGGAGTTCTGAAATCTATAAAACATCTGATAATCTTTTTACTTTATACTTTACATACGACTTCCTTGTACTCTATCAGATATCTAAATATATCATGTAGTGAAGTGGCCCAAAAGGTTTCTACCAAATCCTCAAATTCTCTCACTTCCCAGCTATTATTTTCCTCTTCCTCCAATGTCAAAGCTTTCTTCCTTGAAACATAAATTATTGTCCACCTGGTTCTCTTTATTTAGCTATTTTCCCAGATTCATCCACTGAGCAAGAAATGTTAATATTCCTAAAACCTGATTGCTTGACTATCTCATCGTAGATCTAAACTTCCCTGAATCAAATTTATTGGAATGAGGAGAACAACTACATATTGTAGTTTCACAAGTTTAACATGAAGAACATGGAACTGCTAGGTCTAGAGTTGGTGAGGAAGTATGCACATACTAAAAAGTGTGAATATTATTCCTTTGGAAGAACAAGGTGAAACAAATGAAATGATATTGATAGATTATAGGAGTGCATATTTTTTTACTTTTAATAGCAAGTATGTTACAGTCATCCTGTTCCAAAAACAATTATCTACTAAAGGCCTAATGTACATGTGATGTTGTTTTAGAGAAGGCCAATCTTATATACTAAGAAAGGAACTGGCTGCAGTATACACTGTATTTAGTAAACAGATACTGCAGTGCCATTCCTACATTTAAGGAAAACATGGGTCAAATACTGAATACTATAGTTTTTAGTGCTTTGAAATGAGATCTGATAAAAAAATAAGGTAACATGCTAATACCCTGTATACTGTTTTCATACTTTTGTCCTTTATTAAAGCAAGCTATTAAAATATGAATTTATGCTGATTTTTATGAGGAACCAGCTTTCTTGAAAATAGCCACCTAATTCATTATATCCTGAAGGCTTAGATAGTAATTGAGGAAATCTACACATTTCTAACATGTGTATATTTTCAGCTTCTGATTGACATCAAACAGAACTTCAGCTTCTTGTTTTCTTTCCTTTCCTTTCCTTTCTTTTCCTTTCCATTGTAAATGTGAAGTAGTATGTGTTAATCCTGCTGAAGATTGTTTATCTATATTGGCAAAGTAAGATTGTTGAAAAGAATCTAAATGGTGAGACAGACAGTATGGATTAACAATAACTTTGTTCATAAATTTCTCACAAGATGTGAAGAAAGATGCAGATCAGAGGGGAAAGTAGCCAACAATATGGATTTAATCACTGATGTTTCAGAAAATGCAGACCAAATGTCTGTAAAAATGTCAATTGTAGCCAAACATTTCTTAGATATTTGTTTCAAAGTCACCAGAACTTCACACAGTATTTCATTCCTAACTGGGATCCACATTGATCCCTGTTTTTGTATTAGTTTAAAAACTGCTAGTGGACACATTTTTCTGATGGAGTACTTGAGTTGTTGACAGTGTAGGATATCTAAAAAGCTGGGCCATAACATTTTAAGGAATTTGAAACAAGTTCTATGATAAACACCTTTTGCAAGGTTTGCTTCTTATATTGTATGCATATATGGAGAATCCATGAAGCTATATTTACTTTTGGACTCAATAACTCCAATTTCCAACTTCCTTCTAATGGCTTAATACAATATTTGGATACAGCTAGTGTAGCTTGTTTCTGAGTAAATACATATAAGGAATGAATTTTTACAATCCATGCTATGTATGCCTACTAAAAAGTAGAACCTAACTAGTTCATTGGGGCTTACTGTCAGATAACATTTGTAGGACTATGGTCTCACACCCTCCAATTATGTTATCATAAGACTATTGGGATTCCTGTTGTTCTCTGTTAATTTTGAAGGAAAAACATTTTAAAACTATGAAGGCTCTATCTGAGCCACAAACTGGTTCATTTCCACAATTTGAGATGCTCAATAGTTGTGATATCATTCATTGGGTTGACATTAAATTATTTTGCATTAATAATTTACTCTCATTCAATAAATTCTTCTGTGAGAATGTGGTCCTCTAAAAATGTAGGAAATCTCATAGACCCTCAATTTTTAAATATTCTTCTTTAATAATATTTGCATCAACAAGATTATGTTTTTATAAATCATTTCAAGAGATATACTATAGTGAATCCAAATACTTGAAATCTTTGATAACAATGATTACAATGAATCATCCAGAATTGGAAGATGTAGTCGAAAGTTAAATATGAATCCATAGTTGAAGGAAATATTACTAACGTTAGATTTTTCACTTTCAAACTATGCTGTAACAAGAGGTCATAATAGATATGCTAGAAATTGTTTATCAAATCAGTAATCAATTATTAAACAAATAATATAGAAAACTCATGGATAAGGCAGAATGATACTGATACTGACCTCTATTAATTTTCCTAATCACAAATCTTTTATCAAAATATGATTTAAAAAATAAAGTATGATTAGAGGAGAACTTAACCACTAGCAAAGAAAAGTAACTAGTTTTCTATAAAAAAGAAGTTTCTTTGTCCACAACTAATGAGGCTAACTCTGATGGGGTTTCATTCTTAATGAGAAAAAATAGATATATTTGTAGCTTAATGTCTCACTCAGCATGAAACTCTTGTTTCAGAAAGCCTGTTTCATTTTAGAACGTTTTTGCTAATTTTGGAAGTATAGTCACACAAGAAACTTATGAGCTAAGAGCTGTTTTGTAGATCATATATTATGGAAAGGATTTATTAAAATGAATAACCAAAACCATATTATAGAGAAACTAAAATAATCTTTTTATAAGTAGCAGGATACATATTTTTACATATTAAAATATTTTTACATATTATAATAAATATGCTATTAAATGTATTACATGTTACATATAATTTAGGGTACTAGTATGAGTATTGTATTTTGTTTTGTGTACATTTTAGGAAAGAAATCCACCTCCTTCACAAATTATATTATCTATAACATGGGAGAGATTTGGATTATTCTGTTGTTTTTATATAAGTTTTATTTACAGTTTTTCTTTAACAACCGATTTGGATTATTCTCTACTTCAGCATCCCCCAACCTTTTGGGCCCCAGGGACCAGTTCCATGGAGAGAGGCTTTTCCGGGGAGTGGGGGGAGTGTGCTTTCATGTGCTGCCTGCATCCTGCTTCATTTATTTACATGGCCCAATTTCTGGAATGCCGTGGACTGGTGTGGGTCCATGGAGCAGGGGTTGGAGTCTACTTCACATATGTCCACAAACAACATGAAAAAATATTAATGGCTGTAAAACAAAAAAAAATGATATGATAGAAGACAAAACCAATGTAGTGCGATTGGCACTATTTGGTGGAAAAAAACCTCCCTTATTAATATGAAGCTACATAGAACAGATTTTGTTAAGGCATTTCTGTCCATTTTGTGAAAAAGGAGGAGAGAATAACTTTCACAACATGATTTTCTTACATCGGGGGTATGAAATCTGAATAATCCTAGAATATCTGAGATATCTTCTTAGATATGACACAATTAACATGGATTTATTCATTTCCTGTCTTAAATTGACATTATTCTACTTTCAAAATATAGGGATGGTTTGGCTTTCAAGTATTTGGCAAACATTGAACAATGGTAAAAGTTATTAAATATACTCTTTGGACAATAAATACTCCTCATTTCACTTATATACTTTGTGTGTGTGTGCTAGAACAAAACTAAACTATATGGAGGAATTGGTCAAGAAATGTTAAATATTATTTAACAGATATTGTAGCTTGAAAAAAAGTCCTATCAGTGTAATATATCTGGCATTCATAATTGTGAGCACACTCACAATTAATAGAAATTTTCAATCCTATTTTCAGAAGTTCTGGACTTTTAAAAATACAGTTTACTAATCTAATTTTCTCTCTTAATAACCACCTAAGTATAGGAGTATTTGTTGTTGTTAATTTGGAACCTGTGAGCCCAACTCTAATGAAAATTGCTGAGCAACACCAAACAGGTTAGCATTGAAAAATTTCCAGATGTCCTTGCTGCCACTTTATATGAAACATTTGCTACTGTAGACCTTTAAAAGTAAATGAGTCCCTGTAGATATTACTCCACTAGTCATTGCTGACTTTAGGGTCAGTGCTCACCTCCATTTCAAGACCATTGACTCTGCGCTGTCGAAAGACATTTTCATGATCATATGGCCAGCATGACATCACAGAATGGTGTTACCTTTCCATGAAGTGGTACCTGTTTCTTGTAGACCATTATAAAATATTATTTATAAAGCACTGTAAATTGGCTGCAACCAGAGATAACCTATGCTTACAACACAATCTAAGTTGGTCTGGTTCTAAAGTGATACACAGTACCTGTCACCAATCATGTTTTTCAATTTAAAACAATAGCACAACCCTATTTTGTAACAACACAAAAAGCATAACAGGAGCATGCATTAAACTTGGAGATTAAAGAAAAGTGGGAGATGGGTGGAATTTAGTATAGGGAAATTAACTGCTATGGCTAATAATGGAAAATATTTCTGTAGCTGATATAGACTTGTCTCTGTTGGATATCATTTTCCACTGAAACAAGAGATTGTGTATTTATAATGCTTAAAAGTAAATATAATTGGGAAAAATATGGGAACTTGAAATATTTATATTATTTGTTGTAAAATTGTGCCTGATAGTTTTGGTGGGAGTTATTTTTAGAAGGAATAAGCAAAATTATGACCTGAAAAATGTATCCTAAACTTAAGAAAGAAATCAAGAGCTAAAAGTGGAATACCCTACACCTGTGTATAATGTTTCCTTTTAAATATAGGCTTCTGATCTGGAATAGATGATGCACTTGTGCTTTAATAGTATATACATTGTCATGTCTAAATTACTTTTTGTATTATGTCTGATAGGAAAAAATGGTTACTGATCAACAGAGAAAATAAAACAAGATCTCACAGCTTTGGGTAGTGGTTTTAGAAGCTCTGCTAACAACCAGAAAATTAGGAATTCACCAATCTTTTTTTTTCCTTGATGTAAATGTGTTTTTATTTTCCATTTTCATTTTCGTACAGTCACATATATACAAAAAGTAATTTAGAC